CCCCCCCCTTTTCCCCTCTGCTTTCCCCCCAAATGTCTGTACGTAGCTTCAGAAGAGAATAATCTGACCGGATGTCAGAGTCTGGAGATGTATTTTTTCCGATGACTGATTTTGCCCTCAGAAAAACTGTGATGCTTGCTGTGCCCAGTGGAAGCAGCAAGCTGGTCCAGCACATCAGGCAGAAGGAGCATCAGAGCCCTAGAGTGCACGGCAGCTGCGGTGGCTTCTACTGCCACCCAGACTGACTCGCTGCTCTTGCCGGGCACAATGAGTGCCACAGCCCTGGAGTGCCTGGCGGCCTTGGTACCTCCCATGTGGTCCTCCTCGACAGCCAGCAACCCCTGCTAGCCACAGGAGCCCCAGCCCATGTGCGCATTGAGTCCTGGCATCACCTGGGGTTGCTGGGGATGCTTGAACCAGCTTTTGTTCCTCAGACTGAAAAGGGCTCAGATTTAGTGGGCTCCTAATCCTGCCCCTAGCTCCTATTCTTGCCCCTGCTCACCAAGCCTCTAGTGGCAAATCACAGGTATGCAGGTGAAGGACAGTCAGAGGTGGTTTTTTGCCTTAAGGTGTGATTGTTGCACTAAGCCAAACAACGCTAAGCTGATTTACATTTGTGTGGCTTACAGTGTAAGGTGTAACAAGGCCCTTAGCTTGCCTATACACATGCTCAGAGGTGGAGTGGGGGGCATTTTAATTAGAATGGTTCCCAGGCAGCCACTGTAATTAAAACAGCTCACCATCATGTGTATTAAGCCACATTTCAAAATGGTCGTGGGGGTGCTTTAACTAAAGCTCATTCAATGAAGTTTAGTTAAAGTGCCCCCAGGGCCATTTTGAAGCGGGGGGGGATGTTAATACATGCGATGGTGAGGCAACTCATTCCTGTTCTAATTAGAACACAAATGCATACGTCTATAGGCAGCCCTAGATGTTATCGTAATAGATTTGACCCTTCGTTCTCTGCCTCTGGTTCAACTAAGTGAGGAATTTCCTGAGTTCAGGCTCCTAGAAGACATTATTTTGCCAGCCCCTACAGCAAAACATAGGTGCTCATAATTCTCTGACTTCATTTCCTTTCTGAACATAACTTATGCTTGTGGACAACGAGATTGCGTAGCTCTGTGTTTCACCTAATCAGCTGATCTTTCACGTATCAGTGTTTTATGCCACCCTTCTGCCTTCAGTTATTCAATCTCATTAACACATTTTATGAATTAGGTGGCCTCTATGTTGTTCCTTAGGACTTGGAGCCAGGTACCTCTTTATCAAAGAACTTTGTTTCTAGAACCTTTCCAAGTTTGTATCAGCTGTGCTGACCAAGTACAGTGGGATTACAAGCTCTGCTGCCCCCTAAATCAAATCACACATGCCCGAAGTCCAGGATAAGTAAAATTCAATCATGCACCCCAGACAGGTTTTTTGAATGTAAAAATGTTATGGTTTAAAGTCTGTCATCTTTTGGCTATATTACAAGGTCATTGTCAAGGAAGAAGCCAATATTCAAAATTGCGCTCTGCACTCACTTTTACTTGTGGAGTATCCTGTTATACACTGCTTCAGAACTGTTTTTATATATAAGCTATTTAAGCTTATGTAAGCTTATAAACAGAATATTTAGAGCGAACTTTTTTATTTTTCTGTCCGTCAGAGATCTGAAGTCTCCAAGAGGTAGCCTGTGTTATGCTGGGGGTCTCTGACAAAGGAGGATTGCACACATCTGCAGTAAAAGAGAGTAGAGTCCATCAGACATTGGGTAGTGGTTGCAGTAGCACAGCTGGACCTTCTCTTTCAGTTATTTGCTTTTTTTTTTAGACTAGGAGGCAGGCAACAACAGGTTGTATTAACACCTATGCTGAGAGAGCTTCCCCAGCATATCTTACTCAGGTGTGCAGTGTAAGGTCACCCCTGCTGTTTCCGGGTGTCCACTGTGGCTGTATATGTTTCTTTTACCCTGAATTTAAATTTGTGCAGTGTCCTATACATGCTGTAATGTCATAAGGCCATTGAGCATCTTGAAATCAATCCAGAAAATGGCTCCATGCATATTAAGTAGTGGTTATGCCTGAATATATTGCAACTGTGCTCAATCAACAGTATGCATGGGCTTCTCCCTAGTCCTGGGTGGAATTTAGGGTGATGCTTTTGGCCTAGAAATGGTGACTTTTGCCTACCACAAATACTGCCTGTTTCCCCATGTGATACTGCAAAAGTTCTGATGATCATAAAAACATTAGCTAACACTCCTTGTATTAAAAGAAGAGGAAGCGGCTTAGCAGGCACTTTCTATGAGGAGACCTATACCTTGAAAGTTACTACTCCCCTTTAATCACAAAGAAACTGGGTTCCTTGGCATTTAGGGCATGTAGCAAAACTAATCTATTTGTCTTAGTTTTTTACTGAACTGATGGATTAAGGGGGGCTATGGGATGGTTTGGAAAAGTGGATAATTTATATTATGAGGCATTACATAGGTAATAGATTTTGAGAAAGATGTAAATGATTGTAGGAAGAACTGGAAATCATTTATCAGTGTCTTGTCCTTTTTATTTATACAAGGACTTTAATCATGGATAGCCTAATCAAAAACAAATAAGTATATCACAACCCGCAGTGGCTGGTTACATTATCGTTTGAGTATTTCATGTTGTAAAAAGACCCTCTTGTTACAGTTTTCTGAGATTCTGTCTTATGTTGTTATTATGTGGCATGCTTAATTCTAGATATCTAAGTTAAAACAGGACTGTCCAACTTCCAAGCAGCTGGAGGCCACACACTTGACAGGCGGCAGCAGTGGGGACTGCCTGCCCTGCAGACCACATCAGGGCAAGCCAACCCCTCAACCCTGCCTCTCCCTGGACACACACCCCACAGATGCACCTTCCCACTGCCACACTGTGTACCCATGATCCCACCCCCCAGTGCACCACATAGCAGCAAACCCCCTTTTGCCCCCGCTGTACTGCATGCCTGTGACCCATTCCCTCACCCTGCTGCCCTGTGCACCTGCAACCACCCCCTCGCACCTTGAACCCCAGGTTCACCCTCACCTCCCCATGCTGCTGCATTGCCCAGCACTCTGGAGTGGGGGCAGGGAGCAGTAGTTAGAGGAAGGAGGGGGAGCCCAGAGACTCCTCCTGTTGTTGCAGCCAGAGCGATGGGAGAGCAGTGACCAGGCAGGAGCTTGGTGAGGGAGGGTTGTAAATTAACCCCTTGGAGGCCACAGACTGCCAGTTGGACAGACCTGGGTTGGGTTAAAATACAGTATACATCAGAAATACATTTTGATTTCAGGCATGACTTTTTTTTCTGGGACGTCTTCAGTTATTCAGGGAATGTTTGACCCTGTTCTCTCCATTCTTACTTTCTTTTCAGGGTGATGAAATGAAGAAGATAGGTATTCAGCCTATACCCATGATGGACAGAGACAAGAAGGATGAAGTCCCTCAGGGCCAAGTATGAATTACCTGCCTGAAATGAAATGTTTCTTAATGTCCTGCAGAATGTACATACTTAATATTTTGGTAGAAGTTATGATATATAATTTTTTAGAGAGATGTGATATTTTTATGACTGTTAGGACTTTTATCATGCTGACAGTCGTGCTTTGCATGAAAAGTATAGCACTTTCCTCCTCACAGACATGACTGGAAGGACAAGAGCACACTATTTCATGATTTCACATATTTTATGTCACTGTTTTACTACTTGTAGTTAGGGCTGAATTTGTGAATGACTTATAAGAAGAATACCTAGTTGGTGAAATCACAAACCTGATTTGTACAAGAAATGTAGCAATCATCTTCTGGTTAAATTTTGCTAGTGTAGTACCTCTCGGTATTCTTGTACTCAGAATACTGTTATTTGGGATTTACTATCATTCTTTTATAGTCTTCCTCCTATTGATAATGTCCTAGAGTAATACAAAGTCTGCAAAGTTGCAGCTTCTGAAAAATTCTAGTTTCTTGGTTGGATAATTGGTGCTTTGTATATTCTTACTTGAATAAGGAACATAAGCATTCTTTTCTTCCATACACCTGGTTTATTTTATAAGTAAATAATGAAGAAATATTTAAAGAAAAAAATACCTCAAAATCTGGAAGGTGGAAGACCAATTTGGGGTAGGAATGAATTGTTGAAAAGATAAATATCACTAACTTTTTTTAAAGAAAAATATAAAATGAATGGATGGAGAGAGAGTGATAAATGTAATATATCTGGAAAATTATCAAGTATTTAATATCTGATGAAACTAACTCATAAATTAATTCATAGGTAGTTTGAAGTCTGTCTTAAATATTTTTCCCTTAAAAAAAAGGAACAGGATAACAGCAAAGGATTGAATTAGGGATAGGTGTCTAGTAAGTCAATAGGATGTCTTAAATTGGAACTTTATAGTTTATCTTAGAACCCAGTTTGTAGTTTCTTGTATGTGCTAGGTGCTTCAGAGTTGAAGATGCATCTCAATTTATCTTGGAGGGAAGGAACAGTACATTTAATCAGGTAAAGGACTAAGAATCAGGATACCTGGGCTCAAATCCTGATTTTAACTATTGACTCACTCTAAGACCTTTAACAAACTTCTCAACATTTCTGAGACTCACTGTAAAATTAGGTAAATTCTATAAATTCATTCATTCTATTCTATATCTGGACTTCCAAAAAAGCCTTTGGCAAGGTCCCCCATCAAAGACTCTTAATGACGTTAGATAGTCATAGCAGGTCTACTCAAGGATTTGAAATTGTCTTAAGGATAGAAAACAAAGAGTAAGTATAAATGGTCAGTTTTGGGGATGGAAAGAAGTAAACAGCAGGGCACCCAAATGGATCTGTGATTTTAAATGATATGAAATGTTAGGCTGATGCATCTATGTTAGAATTTTAAATAACTACAGATACTGGATTTGGAAATTCAAAACCTGGGTTACTGAATGAGCTGTCCAGGGTATAGGTATAGGAGCAGATTTCAAAGGGCCTGTAATACGCACCTATAAAATAACTTACGTCCTGCTGTATCCTGAGCTAGCACAATTATCTGACTTGCTCATTAAACTTGGCTTTACACACACAAATTTGAACAGCTGAAAAAAATCAAGGATCCAGCCATTTGCATATCAAAACTAGCCAGCTGCCTGAAGCATTTTATATTTGTATATACACATCCCATGCATACACCCACATATATATGAGGTACTTGCTTATTTTTAGCGGCCCTTTGAAAAATTTGATTTTAAGCGTGTAAATATCACCGGGCATTATATTTACTGTAAAAGAGTATAGTATTGGAGGCAAAGTGAAAAATGTAACAAAATGTGAAAAATGTTGCAAGAAGGTTTTATAATAGATTAATAATTTAGAAGACAACTGTAAATGGAGATTTCAATTTCCTATTAACATATTTATCATCCTTCTCCTAATTTCATGACTGACAAAGAAACAGCAATGACTTCATAAAATTCTTACGTTTATTATGAGGCCATTAACCAAAGAGAAAACTGGAGCAATTTTCCTGTATTTGTTGTTAAATTTTCCATATATTTTGGTTGGTTTAGACATCTTGAGAGGTACACCATAGTAAATTATATCTACTCTACCTAACATTTGTATAGAGTTTTTGATGGGGTGAAAGATCGTTCACCCCAGTATATTTCTGTTTAAAACTTAATGTTATTTTCTCTCTAAATTCAGCTATAATTATTGCCAGTCTCTTTCTGCCATGCTCTCTCTGTGTTCTGCCCATTACCATTTGTATTTCTAGTAGAAAAGTAAGTAAAGAAATTACAGAAAAGAGACTCTCAAAATATCTATTTTTAGTTGCGTTATTTCTCATGTATTACAGCAGTGTTCTGGCAAAGTGGTAAGATTTTACAGTGTTACAGTTCTATAAAAGTAGCCTTAGCTAATAATTTGCCACAGTTCTGTAAAAGCCAATGAAAGTTAATGTCAGTGCTTCTAAGGTAAAACAAAAGGAACTCGGGAGCCTATACTGGTATAAAGATCTATAATGTGGCTTTAAAACCTTAATCAGCCAATAATGACACTTAGAAGTATCCTTTTGGGGACAGAAGGATTTGGAAATGTTTTCTGTTTTAGTTCCCTTAGTATAACAATAATGTGCAATACCTCTCCCTTCCTCGCATTCAAATACTTTGCCCAGTCTTCATCCCTTGCAGAAAGTACTCATTGCAGTTCCCTGACCAGTGACAATTTCTGCTCTGAGGACTGGAATCCTTCGTTTTTTTTTCCCTTCCCTTGAGCAGTGAATCCATAGTCACTGCAACACAAGCCCTATACTTGGGTTCTGCTTCTTGGTCCATTGGCCAGCAAATAGCTAAGCACTGGGTGCAGGAAGAATCAAGGCTCTTGCTCAAGATGCCATTCACATTCCTCTGTATAGGATTTATTCATTTGTGCAAACGTACATTTTGAGGATCTATATAGAAGATCCATGATCACCAAAATGTTGTAGTTAACTAGAAAGACCAGTGCACATGCTCCAGAGTATTGGAACATTTCTCAGAAATCTAATTTTCAGTTATATGTGTAGTCTTACTCAGCTACAACTGAAACAAAGTGATTTGCTTTTAAAAAAAAATTACTCTGGGCAAGTTAAAAAAAAAAAACAGTTTCAAAGCTAGTTATGGCTTTACCATGATATTCATTAATGTCTGAAAAAGTGCAAAGAAACATTTTCTAAAACACCTAAGTGTTTTAGGAGTTTTAGCTCTGTTTTCTAAAAATGCCTTTGGAAAAGTGTCATTTCAAAAGTACCTTTGTCTGTGTTGCACTTCTGTTGCATTTAAACTAACTAGCTCAGATTCCACTTGTCGTTTAGTGACAACAACGTGGGATGCCTGCTTTAACATGGCATTAGAAAATGTTGAAGCCGAGTTGATTAATCTAATCAGTCAAGCAATTAATTAATCTAATTAGAATTCTTCAGCAGCCTTACCATCATGTGTATTCAGCATCCCTCCATTTTGAAATAGCGTTATTAAAGGTCATCAAACCAGCTTTAGTTAAAGTGCCCCACCACCATTTTGAAGTGCACAATGATGAATGAATGCACGAGACACTGTGGGCATTTTAATTAGAGCTGCTCCTGCAGGTCACTCAAATTAAAACGCATCCCCCTCCATCCCAGAACACAGGCCCATAGCGCTTAATTTACTTACTTCTTAGGTTGATTTTGCAGCTGGTGCTGAGCTTCATGCCACTGTAGCTAAACAAGTAGCAGTACCAGCTCAGGTATGCCTTCATTACAGTGCTGTCACTGCTGTGATATCAGCATAGACATGCAGGTCTCTGTGAAAGTCAATAGAAGAACATTTCTAAACACTCAGATAATTTTTGGCACTTTGATTTGGGCTGTTAAGTCACTATAATATGTTGCATGTACATTGGTTTGTAAAACAGAATTAAGGAAGTTTTTTAATCCAGCTCCAGTCAACCTTAAAACAGGGACGTATGTTTGGATGCATGCAATGTAAAGTGCCAGTTTGAGGAGCCCATGTCCGGAGCAAATAAAATAAAACTTAAGATGCCTACAAAGTGCATTTGTTTTGGTCAGAAATGAAGAGTCTCCCAAAGATTTTCCATGAATTGGCTTTTAATTACATTTTGGCATAGTTTGTCCAGTCTGATATGTATTTTGCCTAAAATAAAAATGCTCTTATTTCCAGGGCTGAAAAGAAAGTATTTTAAATACTGTGGTTCCAGTGATATTGATCTATACACTGTGCAGAGAAATCTCCTTTAGAATTGCATTGAAATCAGTTAAGTTAAAATTGGGCTGAATTTGGCCCCTCCTCACTGCCTGTGTTTGTGAAACTTCTGATTGTTGCTAACACTAAGTTCAGCTATGGCATTGGTAGCTACAGTAAGAGCCATAGTATAAATGAGCCATTGAAAAGGGAAGCATTCCAGAAATTCCTTGAAGACCCCTACGGACTTAATTATTACTACTGACTTTACACTGAGGGTACTTGAAAACTACAGTGGTATACAGAAGTACAGATCCCCGTGGTAAATACTAAGTAAATAAATGTAGTAGACAAATTAGGGGCATATTTCCTATTAATTTTCAGTGTCATAATTTGGCTCCATTCAACATTTTTCCTGTTTTTCACAGATTGGGTTCTATAATGCGGTAGCCATCCCATGTTACACCACTCTCACACAGATCTTCCCTCCTACTGGGCCACTACTACGAGCCTGCAGGTGAGTTGCAGCATCTGTTTTTGCACAGCCTACATCTTGCCCGAGAGACTGCATACACACTGTGCATATGCCTGGAAATAAAGGCACCAAATTTCAAATATCGCATGCAGACAAACATAAATATTCTTCTCATGCAAATGTTTTCATCTCTCCAGAGTAACTGGTAGCTAGGGTAAGCTAACAAATGTCCACAGAGGCAGCTCATTAAAATGTGTTTGAAGAGAAAAGTACCTGAGGTAAACAGGTTCAGTGATTACATGTCCCTAGTTAATGACTTCCATCTAGCCCAGTGCAACTCGGGTTCACTCTGGCTACTTCTGCTTTACTCTCACAGTGCTGGCTGGAAAACAAGAATTCTGCTTCTCAAAATTTGTTGAAGTTTTGGCATTTGATTTTGTTCTGCGATAGGACAAAACGAGACCTTTCAAAACCTTCTATGTAAAAGCAGGGAGAAAGAAGAATTACCCAATAGTCAATAATATGATAATAAGTGTACTCATTTGGGATGCAGAAGATACAGATTCAGCTCCCTAGTTTGATTCAGGCAGAATTTGTTTCTATGTCTTCCCCAGCCAAAACAAGTTCCTTGTTGAGTGTTCTGGGGTGGTTATGTTTTTTGTGCATTTGCTTCCTCTCTCATTTTGACCAGAAAGACCATCCTGGACCCAAGAAGCCTTTCCCACCAAAAGTTTCATTGAAACCAATACATTTCCACACAAGATTTTGGGTCCAGTGAGTTGGCACTCTCCACCAACAACAAAGAAAAACATTTAAAAAAAATATTCCAACCAGATATATTCATGACACCAAAGAATTAATGTGTTTTTTTTCTACACTTCTGCTGTCACCTCATCTTTCTTGTATTCTTTTTCTGCCTGTTAGGTCCCTGAATCTAGCTAAACAGGAGTTTCTTCCTCTTATATAATAGACCAGCACGTAAGCTGTCCTCATTTTCCAGGTCTTTAAACCACTAGGATTTTCTCTTCTGGTTACAAGGGCTCTATAAAGTAACAAAAATAAATCCACTTTATACAGGTTCTTTGTGAGATTACGCATTTTGCTACTACTGTGGACCTGGTTGTAATAGGGCTACCCCTGACACTCGGCACTTAATCACTAATGTGTTCTAGCATGCACTCTCTTGCTCGCTTTCACTCCCTCTCGTGCTCTCTCTGCCTCCACAGAACTTTGCAGACAGAAGTGACAGTTTTTAACCTATCTGACAATACAAAGTGGTCTATAGCCATGACCAAACACAAGTGCATGGCTACAGACTGCTTCAAAAATGGCTGATCAGGTGAACATCTGAACCCTTGTTGCATGAGGGGGTCAGATGAAGATGTTCCAAAACAGCATCATCTGTAACTTGTGCCTGCGTTGCCTCCCAGCACCCGAGCTGGTTTCAGCATGTTTTTTTCAGTGCTGACTGGGGAACCCTTAAAACGAGCTCCCTCTCCTCCCTTTTCCCCCTCCCATTCTGAAAACAGACACAGGCTGGGAGGAAGGAGGGGCCATTTCTAGGGGAAACAGACTGGAGCCAGCAGCTAGATTCCCCGTCCCCTGGAACCAACATTGAACTTCTGTTTGATTCAGGGGATCGTTAGACTCAGACCACTTCCTGAAAAACATTCTCAGTTAAAAGGGGAGCTGCACTTCTGTCTGCACCTTCTTATTCTCAGTCTTTCCAGGCTAATCTGTTCTCATTCTATTTCTTCCTACCTGCTTCTGGAACCGGCAAGCATAATGAGGCATCACTCCTTCTGTCTTATCTCCTCTAACTCCTAAGAAATCTGGCCTCTCTTCGTTCTCACCTTTTATGCATATCCATGTGAGATCATCAGTGACCCAGATGTAATTCTGGGACTCGGCCCTACTTGTGCCTGTTCCAGATGGTCCTATCTCCTTAAACGTAGTTTTTATTATTGTGCTGAGTTTCTCTCAGTGGGACCTTATGTCACAATCCCTTTGCGGTTGGAAGCTTCAGACTCATTTCCTAATGCCAGAAACAAAAGGCCAGACCTTTTGGAAAATTGCTTAGCAGGTTTGTTTAAATAAAAGAAAAAATAAAGCATTGTGACTGGGCTGCCAGTTCAAATGGAGCTCAAGTCATGTGTCTCTGGAGCTGGCAGTCTGACAACTTTATAGATTCAATAAGACAATATACTTTCAGAATGTTATTACTAAAGTGATTGTCATTAAAAATCAGCCATCTCAAGTGGTTGTCATGCTGTATTTGCAATACGGCAGTACTTACAGCCATGTGCAAGATCCCACATCCAAGAGAGAAAGCATGCAAGTTATATTACCCAAATAGAGGACTGTACCCTGGAAAATAGTGATTCAGAAATTGATTTTGGGGTCTTGGCTAATAATTAGCTGAAAACAGACTCTTAATACAGTGCCATAGCCAAGAAAGTTGATGTGACCCTTGCAAGTAGAGGCAGAGAGAGGAATATCAAACACGAGTAGGGATGTGATATTATTTTCCTATATGGAATTAGTTAAACCATTACTAGAATATGAATACTGCTTTATAGAGTCCACATTTAATAAAGGATGCTACAAACTGTAAACTTTAGAAAAGAGCTAAAAGAATGATTTGAGGTCCAGAAAACCTGCCGTGTAATGAAAGACTAAAGAAACTTGGTGATTTAGTTATCCAAGAGTAGTAAGAGGTTAGCTGATCATAGATTAGTCTTATAACGACCATATTTACCCAACCCAAGATTTCTTTGAATTTTAGACAACTGCCCCCTGCCCCCAATAATTAGATTATTTACATAGAATATTCTAACTTTATTCTAATTAATTTCCTTGTATATAACCTAATTACTGGAGAGTCGTCTCAAATTTGTTCCTCCCATCATTGCAACAGGGAAAGCAGTGAGAGGGGTGCAATTGGCAGGGGCTGGATTTGGGGTGCAAGTGAAATAAGAAATACTACTTACTGAGTCAGACCATAGGTCCATCTTGCCCCAGTATCTTGTCACACAGTGGCAGAGAGTGGATACTGAAAGAGAGAGCAAACAGGTATGACCAAGGTTTTCTCATGGCTCTTGTATTATGAGAGAGAGAGAGAGTAAATGATAAATCTCTGTTTACTTTCTCTTCATTTAATATTTTGTAAACCCTTATCTTGCCCCCTCCCCCACAAGCATCTCTTTTCTAAACTGAATAGGCCTAGCCTCTTCCAATCTCTCCTCACATGGAAGCCATTCTGTACCACTGATCATCCTTGTTGCCTTTCTCTGAACTTCCTTTAGTTCTTGAGGTGTGGGACCCAAATTGGGCACAGTATTCAAAGTGCCCAATTGGCTATTGGTAGGGCCATGGCTCAGGCCCTGGCCCTACCAGGCAGCAGCAGCACTGGTAGTTCTGGCCCTAGCCCTAGCCCTGGCCAGGAAACAGAGTGGTGGCTGCAGCTTTGGCCCCAGTCCAGGGTAGTCGGCAACTGCAGCTCCAGCTGTGGCCTTAGGCCTGGGTTAGGGCCAGAACTGGAGCTGCACCCGCTGCCCTGCCCCAGGCTGGTACTCAAATCCAGGCAAGGCTTTTTCCCCCCTCATGTTGAATGGGCAGGGGCGTGGGGGGACTTGTCTTGGATTCAAGTAAATATGGGAATTGCATAGTGAGTAGATTTCTGATAGTACATTCTAATAGTGAACTTTGTCACTTGGAGAATTTAAATTAAGACTTCATCTATTTCTATTCTAGGATTATTTCGTGCAGAAAATTACTAAGTGAAATAGTATGTGGTATGTAAGGAATAAATGTTACACCTTAATGGTATTCACTTTTGGCCTTAAAATCCCTGAAAATATTAAGTTCCTTACATGAGAAGAAGAAATAATTATCTCAGTCTGTGCTATGCAGATTATTCACTAGTGCATATTGCTAATAGTGATGGTTACATACATAACATTGATTAAATTGTAACATTTAATAGCTCCCTCATTTCACAATACTGCAGTGTATTTTCAGCAAAATAGTATGAAAATCTGGATCCAGAGTTACAACATTGGGCAAGAATGGATGTGCTCTAAACCACGTTGCTTAAAATAAGTACTTACTGATATGGAGCAGTGGTCACCAACCACTCGGAGATCTCACAGCCTCTTGGCTCCAAGATCTGAGGCTAGGGTGGGGGGCTGAGTGCCTGCACATGCATGCATGTGTGCGCCCCAGCCCAGCAGGTCAGTCCGTGGGGGAGGGAAGGGGTGGGAGCTAGATCGAGGCCCCTGCAGTGAGGGACAGTGCCACAGAGGCAGGAGCAGGGGTAAGTAGAGTGGGGCCCTGGCTGAGTAGGACTTACCTACTGGGGAGGCACACCCCCAAATAATTTTTTCTCCCTCTGCCTCGATCTGCCTTCCTCCCATTCACTCCCCACAGATTTCCCTGCTGGGTGGGAGGTGGCAGCAGCACATGGTAGATCTTGAGTTGCTTGTAAATGCCAACGGTGATCTCCCACTTAAAAAGGTTGGAGACCACTGATATAGAAAGTTTGATTATAATCCTGAAATCATATGTACACTGACAAACAAATGTTGCTTTCAGTACAGAATTCCATAGGCTGTCACCTATAAAAGCATGTGCCTTTCTGAACAATTTGTTAAGGTGCTACCCTGACCTGTTTTCTGTCTGACTTCAGACTAACACAGCTAGCTGTCCATCTCTATAAAAGTACCTGTATGCATTCCTGATTTTACCAGGTCATGAATTAGTAGTCTTACCAAAGGGCATAGCCAAGTTGGTTTTACAACCTTGCTCATAGCTTAAATATATACATGTGTACATGTAATCTGACACATTTGCGGAAAATACCTTCCCAAGAGCAATGATTAATAGATTAAACTCAAGAGTCAGAAGTCAGAAAACCCAAGTATCGGTATCACATTAGTCAAATGCCTGGTTTTGCATTTACCTTACAAATATTTATATAAACCTCATAATACTTCTGTGAAATATTTTAGCACCATTATGCCCATTTTACAGATATGGAAAAT